TGAGTAAGAGATCTAAAGAACATTTATTAAAAGCTACTTGACCATTCGTTTCTTTTCTCTTTGATCATTCAACTGACATATATTTCGTTTATTCTTCAATAGTTAAACCCATTATCAATATATCATGGAATCAAAAAGAGTTGCCCACGATGTTAACTGTCATTGAAAACACATTTGAAACGATTCATTGTGTAATATCAGCCAATCCGCCGGCATTAGCAAATATTGAATGGTATAAAAATGATCAATTAATTAGAGGTAAGAATTCAAGCGAAACATATTCACACGCGTTCTACACCTGTGCTCATATTCGACACATTAAAATTTTCTTTTCTTCTCTCTTGTCACTTTCTCAAATGAGGAAACAGTCGACGTGTCAACGAAGACAATTCAATTATATCGAAATTCTTTTAGGGGAAAATCAAGAACAATTGAAGTTGAATTTTACACGATTAGAAAACATACAGAGATTAACTTGTAAAACACGAAATACTGTTGGACAATCGGAAGCAAGCGTCAATGTCGATATACTCTGTAAGCAAAGAGATATGAACTTGACATCAAATGCTTTGTTTTCGTATTAGATAAACCGAAGTTATCCATGATTGAACATATCACATTGAATCAAGGAGAGAAACTTGTTTTGAGATGTTTGATTGATTCGAATCCATTCTGTCATCAGATTCGTTGGTTGCACAATCAAAAAGAAGTTCTCACTCAACCGTGTTCATTAATGAACCGAACACAAACGGTATCCGAATATGTCATACCGCACGTTTATCGAATACATTCAGGAAAGTACACATGCGAAGTAAAAAATTGGTTGAATACGGGAAGTAATAATCGATACGAAGCAACGACAGCAGTGTCTACGGATGTACGAATACAATGTAAGTTGTCAGTGTTCTATTTCAACAGGACTTTCTCAATTAAATTTTGATTTAGATGCTCCATTTATATTAAATTCGATAAAGAAACTAGCGGTTGTCGAAAATCAAGATATCATCACAGCGTGTGTGGTTGATGCATATCCGAAGGCAGATATAACTTGGTTTGGACCATCTGAACAGCGTTTAAGTTCATTCGCCGACGAGAAAATGCTCAATTTAACAGTAATTTCATCAAAATTACATTGTAAGTTCATATTGAACTTTGTTCCTCACTGATTTTGTTTTTATATTAGTACCACCATCTTATTCAACAATGCTCGGCACGTATCGATGTATAGCCAAGAATCAATACGGTCAACATGAGTTTTCGATGCATTTTCAACGACCTGGTCTGCCAGATCCACCCACTCAACTACAAGCAATAAATATCACGCATGCTTCATTTATTCTTACTTGGCAAGCGGCTTACGACGGTGGCTCGAATTTAATATATCATATTAGTTTAAGTGGAAATCGTTCGGAGGAAAGACAAACAAATTTGAATTCCATTAGATTCACAGGTATGTCTTGCATCACGAATGTTTTTCATGCAAGACGTTTGTCTTTAGATTTAAATGAAAATTCGCGTTATTTTGTTAAAATTCGTTCGCAAAACACTCTGGGATTCAGTGATTATTCGACGAGTATAGTTATCTCAACAACCGAATATCCATTCGCTCCGGATGAGTTTCCAACGATTCAACGAGCTTATTATACCGTTGATGGCCGTCGAATACGTTTTCATTTGAGTGAGATTCGTTCACCGTTGATTACTAAAGATCAACTATGCATTCAACATTATCATATTCCATCATCGACCGTGGAAACAACTGATGAGTATCCATCATGTATACCATTGAATTCTCTTCAACCGTCGAACGATGAACTTGAGATAACAACTGAGGAGAACAACGTACGTTTGAAACTGTGTTTGATCAATCAAACGGACATTTGCTCAAAATCTGTGTCAATTCCAACCGGTGTGGGCTTATCGAATGATTCATCTGAGTTAATTTTGATATTGATTGGTAAGTAGAAAAGAAACAGAATGTAATGTCCATTGTCTCTACGATTCAATTTATTTAGGTGCTATTTTGGGTTTGTGTTTCGTCGCCGCTCTGATTGGTTTGTTCGTTTGTATTCAACAACGAAGGCGGCAAACGAAATCGAAAAGTGGATCAACTGATACATTGAAGCCAAATTCGAACGGAAACCATATTGACAACTTTCATGCAACACCTGTTCGAGTCGTTGACACCAATTCATGTCTGTATTATCCAACACAAACACCAACGATGAATGAAGGTATGCAATTGCAAGAAGATGAACTCCACCAAACAACTTTTGTTGTATTTTAGTTCGAGCGCACAATAGTGGCTTGTTTTACAATCCAGAACTCCCAAACAGTATCTATACAATTCAAGGTGAGTACAACAAACAGCTGAAATGCATATATTTCTATGCATATTCAATGATCCCATCTCTCTAATTCATGTCAGGTACAAACAAAATGGCCATAAGAACAGGTTTCGCACGAGTTAAACGAGGCTTAAAAGTAGCCTGCTAGTGTCACACTTCATCTTCTGTCAGTATGTGTGCTTGTTTGATTTGATCACAAAACACATAAACTCTCTTTATTCTTCCTCACATTTCCAATGCAAAATGAGTCTTTTCTTGACATTAAAAATTGTTTTTTTTTCCTATACTAATTTCTTGCAAAAGCAAATATATCGAACAGAAAGATCTAATGTGTTGTTCTTTTCTTTTTGTTTCTCTACAGAAAAGAAAAATTCAATGTGTTTTGATTCCGGTATGCCATCAACAACTTCTGACAATTCCGACTCGGCTTGTTCACAAGTATTATCTTCATCCGACATCGACGGACATATAGCGAATGGGTTCTACGATCGTTCAGATGGAGAACATCTCGTCAATGGAAGACTATCGTCTAAAAAAGTTCTTCTACCTGATATTCATCATTTGTTTCTGGGAAAATACAACGGAGTGACTGATATTCCACCATACACAGTGGGCGAAAATCATTCAACGTTGCGAATATCATCGGAAGAAGAAAGCGGATTTTCCACACCAACGAAACCTCATCATGGAAAGAAGCTTGTTTATGAAGTTGTTGTTTGAATCTGTCGTTTTGTTTGTTTTTTGTTTTCTATATTTATACATATTGTACCTCATCTATACATATATTCTTCGATTGTTTGCGTGTCTGTGTGCTTCTCTGTCTCTTTGCGCGAAAAACTGACCCAACAAATTTCCTCACTTTTTGTTTTTGTTTTCATATACTATAAAGACAAGACAACGAACTGTTCAACTTATCTCACTTGAAGAAGAAAAGAACGAAGCAGCTCGCAAATACTGCGCAGATAGAACATCAGCTCTGTTTGTTCTCTTATTAGCAATGATTTATTTTTCATGAGATAGAAAGAAAAATCGCAGAAAGATCAGCAAACAAAATCTGTAATTTGTTTCTCTTAACTACGTGCAAATACACATACGCACGTGCATGGGTGTATGTGACACTATTTGTAAGTGGTGTACGAGACATTGTCAACATTTTAAACAATCGTTTTTTTTTCTTTTTTTGTTTTCATTACATTCAACGATTGAAACACTACTCGTACATATTTATCGCCGTCTACACGAACGATCAACATTATGAGCGTCGTACTACCGAACAGGTTTCCTAAATTTTCATTGTGTTGTTTGTTAATCGATTGTTGATGATTTTCATTAGTCGTTTTGATGAAGCGATTCCGCATCCGATTTTGGATAACTCATCGAAGATGATGCGACTTATTGGTAATTTGATTGATTGTTCAATATTTGTTAAGAACATAAAATCTTTTCTTTCATTCTCTAGCTAATCCGGTATACGATCGACTAACATTGTCACGTGCAGCAAATGTTCGTAAATATAATTCAACGAATACTGGTCAACAAGAACCACAATTAAATAGGGAAAGAGAAACAAGCGAATATCCATCGTCTCAACCGATTGATGCAGAGGAAATCACAACAACGGTATAGATCTAATGAGAATATCATTCTGATAGAGAACGACAACTAACTAAAATCAGTTGTTTGGTGAGATATGAAGAGATTTCATTTCCTTTACTAGCCTCTGTCACATCCATCGGATTCGAACGTCAATCGAGCACGGTCAAAATCGGCCCCAAAAATTCAATCCTTACTACCAATACATCTTCGGACAGCTTTACTACCTAATTCGAAACCACCACGAAGTGTTACTCCCGGCTCTCATTCTCGTGTGCCTACCGCTCGTTCTCGTGCATCTACGACACGATCTCGTGCTTTAGCTGTTCGTGCACGTCAACGTGCTCGCCCAAATCCTGCTGATTTACCTCTTGAAGCTATTCAAGCTGAATTAATTGCCGAAACTGCCAATATCCCTAAGCCTGTTCCTGATCGCACCATTCGTTATGTAAATACCCGTCATGGTTTCGAAGTTCAATACTACTCTTCACGGAACTGGCTATCAACCGATGTCTATACAAAAGACACGTTGCCACAACATGAGCAAACTTTTCGAGAGATGCTTGAAAAGAAACGTTTGCAAGAACGGTTATCTCGAAATATTTACTCGTCGGATTACTATAGTCATCGACTAAGCGATTTACTACATACATATAAACAAGGAAATTTATCGCACGCTGAATGGGCAAAACAGAATTATCAATTACATTTTCTCAAAACTTTGTACATTCAAGCAGTGCAGCGAGAACAGAAGGAGCGATCTGAAAATGCAGATAATACTGATATAGATCGTCCAACCTCAACAACACCAACTCAACCGAGTGAATCGAAAGATACGAAAACGGAAGAAAACATCGAACAACAGAATAATCAATCACGTACTCATTTTAGTAATAATCTCATTGACGAAGCCTCGTTCATCTCAACGAATTCCTTTACTCTTCCAATATCCAGTGCAACTGATGGAAATCCGACACCGTTACCAACGAGAACTCGACTTGTTTCCATATCAACCAACGATGATACAAAAGATTTTCATCGACCAACAATTTCTCAACCGCTAGTTCGACCGAAAACTGCCTCGACCGTCGTCAGTTCTGCCAAGAAATCGAAAGCACTCTTTATGTTCGACGAGCAACGATGGTCCTTACAAGCAATGGTTAAACGTGTTGTCGGTCTAGCAGATAAACGTCCATCAACGTCAAATCTTACCGAAACACAGCCTCTATCGACGATGAATATCCATACTAACAACAAATCTGAAAAAGTCGCGTGAAAATATTTCGACACGCATCATTTTCATATGCTGTAAATGAATTTTTGCATTACTTAGTAAAATATACAACTTTATAAACTTGCTGACACTTTTCTGCCAACGACAGCCGCACCTTTTCATCGCTCATATTTTGTATTTATTGAAGATTTTGACAACTATAATGAGAAAAAAAACCTCTGACTGTATTGTTTTGTTTACTAAATTAACATATATGCATTGCATAAAGTAAATTTCGAAAGCAATTCACATTCTTTTACTTTAACCGCTACGTAACAGAAATGTTGAACTTTCAATTTAGATATTTCTTCTTTTTTTCTCTCGACGTATCCGACGCCATACTTTTCTTTAAACGTATCTACTCATTCTGCGCGTCGGCAAGTTCGCTTATTTCCTTTTCTTAAAAAAAAACAAAACTCTTTTCACAGCCATAGTGTCATATATTTCTGTCCCGTGTTCAACAAAAGTTCCTATGAAATTATGGTGGTGTTCAGCAGCAAATATCCTGTATGCAATCGGCTCATTAGGCTATCTTGCTGTTAATATTGTCAATCTCATCGATCGGACAACTGTTGAATCATCCGCTACGTACATTATTTTAGTTCTTCTAGCCATTCTTTTTGTGCTTGACGCGTTACTCTACACAGCAGACTGGTTCGAACAGCGTGCAACAAAAAAATGCCGGGAATTATTTGCTTGCATACTTAATATTGTCGGAAGTGTTTTATATCTAGTCGGAGCAACCGTGTTCAAAAACAAGACAGTTTCGACCAATAACTTCACAAATGTAACTGATATATCAGTGTTTGTATTCAATATCGCTGGTATGTTAGCATTCCTAGGTGAATCCATTCTTTCATTTTTCGCACCCCGCATTACCAAAAAGTCATCGAAATGTTCCGTGGAATTCTTTGCTCATCTACTCAACTTTCTCGGCAATCTGACTTATCTGTGCGCACATGTTATTCAACCAATCATCTCTTTTCTAGCGAGTCACACGACACAATACTTAAATAAACTAACTGACATGATTTTTATTATTATTCGTCCTGTACAAATTGGCGGAGATATTATTTATGTCATTGACGCAATACTTTATACAATCGTCTGGCTGAAAGCGAATGAACAATTGAGAAAAGTTGGTATGGCATGGATAGAGCGTGGACATGCAACGATTAACAATATAATCGAAAAACCAAAATCGAATTTGACAAATGCAAATCAATTACTAGATGTAGAAGGCACGGTGGTACGACCTGAAATGAAAAAACCGATTGTGAAGTCGAAACCACAGGTAGTAGTCATCACAAAAACATACTCATCAAACGATCGACTTTGTGTGGAAACGATCGGCTGAGTTTTGTTTGTTATGTAGAAGTTATTAACAAGACAAGTATGTTATTAGCAATGTCTTCAAGTGGTTTCTATTGTAAATGTGATTTTTTGTGAATACACACATGCAAAAGCAATCAAGAGGATCTGATATTGATGATTCTATACGGTTCGTTGATGAGAATCGTTTTCTGTCTGTATTGAATGGATTATGAGTTTTGTTTGATCGTGAAACGAGTTACTTTACAAATAGTATACATTTGTCCTTCTTCTAATCCTCTCAATTGGCATCCGATACGACATTTGTAATTCTTCTTAAGCCACTTTTTGTATTCTTCAGAAGTTTTTTTTCTATTAAATAATAATAATAAATATTGAATTTTTTTTCTCTTCGACAAGCAGTATAAAGTAACAATATTGCTTGGATCTACACAATATTTGTGGAAGTTTATCCGCAGAGAAATCAATACGAGTTTCTTTGTACTCTATGCATGTATACAATATCGAATGAAAACATCGATTTTATGCTCGAGTAAGATACATCAAGTAGATATTCTGACATGATATAATAAAAGTAATCTATTCTCTATATCACCCATTTTTCATATTCTAACGCATTGTTTTTGTAGTAAGTACATATTTAGCTTTTATACAGTTTCGCCATCTCTTATCATACCATTCTTTCCTTAAAAAAAATCATTACTCTCCTTTTTGCCTTCGAAACTGCTTTTACATAAACACATCTGATCCGTTTTGCTCTCGATATAACTGTATGTGGATATGTCTCTATATATAAATACACATATGCTTTCTCAATAGTCAAGTACAATCATCATCATCGATCACGAAAAAAAAAGGTTTTTTTCCTTCCCGTCTTCCATTCACCTGTGCAATTTAATCAAAGAATGTTAATACGACTTGTTTAGATGAAAATTTATAGACAGACATCCGGTTTTGATATATTTTCTTGCTTCATTCATCGCTATGTATAACAGATGCTTGATAATCTTGTAATCTAATGAGGAGTGTAAAGGAATAACCTCGAAGACACCTGTTGATTTGTTTTAATGATATCATCACACTTGTTCAATGTCAATGAACTAATTGTTTCGAAGGATAATCTTTGTTAACAAAGACCAATGATAGTAAGTTTCTATTTTGTATTTTGTAGAATTTGCCTTTTCTTCCGCGCAGAAAGAAAGACAACTCGAATAACTTCTCCAGTTCGTAAGTCTCTCTCTCACACGGTTGCTTGCTGCTTTCTGTCTACAGAGTGTGACATTTCTAATCTAGCCGTTGACAAATTCTGATTGCTTACCATACCAACATAACAAGCAGCACGTAGAGGGTTATCTAGATTAGCTTTGTTATCACTTTGTCTCTATATGGATGTGTTTTAACGACAGCAGCATATCAAACGAAAAATATCGATGATGAATATCTCGAGATATACCTAAACTTGTTGTCCAAATTGATGGACTTCGCCTGTTTTCAGCTTATCTTGACGGTATTTTTCTTCGAACATTTGTCATATGATGCTGATAAATGAGAGATAGATTAAGATCTTTATAGGCCTCTTTTTCTCACCAACCGCTGCTATCGATAGTGATGATGTGACACGCTTCGTTGTCATCCGTCTTAACATTACATATACGCTAATTGTCATCGAGAAGAGTGCAGACATGCGTCCATTTATGCGTATGCATACATTTATTTCATAGATGTATTATGACAACAAGAAGAAAAAAAGAAACGAGGTTCGGATTTCGACATTGATTTGTGCTCATCGGTAACAAAATAGGATTGAGATGGCAAAAAATCAACATTGTAATGAGAGATCTTGCTTATTTATCATTCCGCCAGGCGTGGAAAGAGACGAACGGAAGAGAAACTGCTGCATCACACCTTGAAAGTTACCGTGAAATCACACTGATCGCGGTTTGATCAGTGAATTAATTGATCGTATACGCACGGTTTTCGAAAGCAAATAAATATAATTTGTTTCGCAAGTTTACAGGTGCAAAACACCAAGAATAATATCAAATCATTTCATTACATATATTTCAATCATCCTTCGCTTTCTTCTTCTTTTTCTCCTTATTGTTTATCTCCCTTTTGTTAATGTTATGTTTATTGATGATAATTATTTTCTTTTGCATCATTCACTACAGGGACTATTTATTTCTTTCGTTCATTATCTTCTCGCCTTTTTTCTTTCTTTCTCTTCTTCTTTGTTTTTCGTGGTATATACTTGATTGAGTTTCGCTTGCATCTTACTCGATTTTCTTCCTTTTTTTTGTAGTCAAACAAAATCGTACACGTACATAAATAGACAGATGAAGAGGCACTTACTGGAGATGTTTGCTGGCGGTTTAAGAAAAGAAAGACGAAGAAGGAGAAGTATGTGGGTAAGAACGGAAAATATCCACATCTTTTGCTCTTGACTTCTTTTTTGATAGTGTTGCATGATATAGACTATATATATATATGTATACAAATGAGTTATGTACCATATTAATGCACATTGAGAGAGGGAGAGAGAGTGTGTGTATATCTATCAGTTTCATACTTGGAGGAGTCTATACTTGTGTTCGGTTTTCTTCATTTTACGGTCTAATTGCGAAAAACGACGGCTAGTTAATAAATCAATCTAGAAGACATAGTCTTGATTTGTTAATTAAATTGATTTATCTGATGTGTCAAAAAAGTGCGTGTTTTTAAGAGAGACAGAGAGAAAACCAAGAATGCAGGAGACACAGGACAAAGTAGTTAGTTCGACCTAAGTTATCTCCTAGTATCGAAACCATTTCAAATCTCTTATCAAGATTGTTGCAATTATCACAAGTAATCTTCGATAAACGTCCTATTCTAGATTTATTGTCGCAGATTGTCCGAATCAGATGATTAGTAAAGACAAGTCGATGCGAATGACGCGCTATGATACATCATCGCGTCTTCATATCATAGTTTTGTACGTCCTTCTTGCTAGTCTTACTATAGCCTGGGGAATCTATTTCGTTCATTCTTCTCGAAATATACAGACACAATTGGAAACTACGTATACGGAATTAAATTCAATGAAAGAACGCTTAGAAGCGCTTGAATCCACTCAAATAACCATTTCGACCAATACTAATGGATACGAAACACTACGTCGTCAATCTAGATATGCACGCGTCAAAGCAAAACCAAATAACAAGCAACCACAACAAAAACCAAAACAAGAGAAATCGAATTCAGAGCCTCAACAAGTAAATCCTGATCTACTTTTTGGTTCAATTCATTTCAAAGTACCGGTAAAGCGACATGCATCATTTTCATCGGAATTTAACCTTTTTCAAATGAAATTATAGCCATTAGCAATGACGACTTTCTGCGTTAAATCGGTAGATCATTGCAAGAAATTAGTGACTGAAAATGAAGGTAAATGATAATGAGTCATTTCAATTAAAAAATTATATCTGTCTATTTGTTTCTGTGCCATTTAGAATTACGCGGTCCAAAAGGTGATCGTGGCGAACGTGGTTACCCAGGTTTGCCAGGTATGCCAGGTCTGATTGGACCTGCTGGACCGCCTGGTATGTATACAATAGGACAGTGAACCGATGTGCAACGATGTATTTCTTTTAAAGGTCCACAGGGTCCTGTTGGTTATACGGGAGCGACAGGTCTTCAAGGGCCAAAAGGTGATCGTGGCGAATCGATCCGAGGTGAACAAGGTAGATCATTGAAGAATTTTGGAAGTAAAAATGAGAATATGATTCATTGTTTAAAGGTCTTACAGGTCCGATGGGACCGCCCGGCTTTCCAGGTCCACGTGGTGAAATAGGTCCGCGGGGTCCACCTGTACGTATTATAGTTTAACCTACATAAAATACATTAGCTTTAATGTGAATTTTCGTCTAATTAGGGTGTTTGCACATGCCCTCGAATAGCTGTACCATTTCAACCGCCAATATCGTCTGCTATGTCATTTCCACCAAGCAGCATTGTATCAAGTGTCGATCAAAAACAAGGTATATCCCTACTTTATGACTTGACAGTATCGTCTACATTCTTCTCCCCTTTTTTTATTGCAGATTCTTCTCGACGTGACGGTAAGTTATTTCATATAATTTAAAATAGACTGGCATTTACTCTACTTCTATTCTCAAAACAAATCAGCTGTCCTCAGCCGTGCACAACGTATGTTAGAGCTCAGTTCACTGTTCTTCTTTTGCAACTTCTTTCCTGGTCTCGTTTAGGATGCGTATTTTCCTTTATTGGTACACCTGTTCTTCTCAAACAAGACAATTTCACGTTTGGCGCTTGGTTTAAGGATCCAATGCCAAAAACTGCCAATGGAGCGCAAAAAGTCTATGTTACACGACATGTCACGGGCACGCAATTATATGAATACAATAGTGAAGCTGATCTCATTAATGGTACACCCAATCGCATCATAACTCTTCCATATCCTTATTCAGGTGTTAATCATGTTGTTTATCAAGGTAGTTTCATTTATAATATTCAACATAAGAGTACGATTGTACGAATTGATCTCGTATCCGAAACCGAAGCTCAACATGTTGACATCTCAGCTAGCCGTGAACCACTCTACAATACTCCACAATCAAGCTGGTATGATTTCTCGATCGATGAAAATGGTCTTTGGCTGCTATATCGCGATCTACAAACACGAAATTTCATTGCTGCTAAAATCAATCCCGATACATTAGATACACAAAAAATGTGGGTGTTACCATATAATCCCTCAAGTTTGAGTCAAGGCTTTATCGCCTATGGAGTTTTCTATGGTGTTCAGCATTATAATAAACTACAATCGTATATTGATACTGTCTATGATATTTATTCGAATTTAGCATTTACTACAATGAAGATTCAATTCGCTGTACCATTTCAATTCTTAGTACAATTAACCTATAATCCATACGAAGGAAAAATCTTTGCATGGGACAACAAACATTTACTCTATTATGTTTATAATGTTCAACGTGACAAAACATTCAAGTGTTAAAAACAAGCAGGGAGTTGTTCTGTCCTGTCCTGTCCTGTCCGGTGATGATAATGATGATGACGACGACGACAATAGCGATAACGGAAAAAGAACAGTGTTAACAGTTTAGTTTTTCTTCTTCTTCTTCTTCTTCTTCTTTTCTTATATTGACTTCTCAGGTGTAAGCTTATCTCTAATGGATTACAATTACTTTACATCAGCCTTGATATCCGTTTTTTTTTCTTTTCTTTTTGTCATTTCTCATTGCTATATATTACAAATAAAAGAAATTCGCATGTTTGTGTGATTTTCATTGTTCTTTTTGTTGCGCTTGTCTTCTATTTCTTTTGACCATTGGTTCGTCACGGGTGACGAACAAGGATAATGTGCATGTGAATATATACTTGAAAAAGCAGTAGAAAAACCTTCAATCATCAGGTATGAGTTACGATAGCACATACTAACTGAGCATGACCTTTTGTACAAGGTATCTTCTGTAACTTTTCGACGACAATAAATAGTTGTCTCATGGACTGCACTGGTCAGCCTAGGCAATAAGTCAAAAAAAAATACGAAGGCATACCGTGCGCGAAAGTGAGACGCGCTAACTGACGCAACGATAGTGAAGAAGCAAAGGGATTTTATCTGAGAAGGATGAATAGTTCGATTTCTAGAAGAATGGTTATGGTTTTTTATTGAACGTTAATGTATATTGTCGCGCCTTGAACTTTCTGCGCATTTTTGAGGTATCGATATGTGACAAATCAGTGAAGCAAATCAATTCCTTCTTTCTTTTTTCATGACTCTTGTTATACAAATTTATTTCTTGCCAATGACTGTATGACTTTCAAATGGCTGTACTAACTACTAGATAAACGTCTTCTTCATTTATCAATCGCTCGGTCGATTAAAGGATTTGTTGTTGTAGCATTTGTAAGTATTCTATTTGGAGTGACAAACCTTTAGCATGTGACGATGGATTGTTTTTTTTGTATTTGCACATATTAGAAAGAAAGAGTTTTGAATAATAATCAATAAACATAATCTATTGTCTTATAAAGAAATACCAACATGTTCGGCTGCGGATATCCATGTTCATTACCAATGTGTTCACCATCTATGATGTGTCCATATGACGTACCGGTTCCACAGCCTTGCCCTTGTCCTTATCCTGTACCACAGCCATATATTCAAAACATCTGCCAACCGGTCGATGTACCAATTCAAAATACAATTCAACCGGTCATTGTACCAACACCGGTCTGTGTACCTGTGCCTCAACCAGTGCCAGTTGATCGACCATGCGCTGTACCCGTTCCTCAACCTGTACCGGTGCCAATAGAACAACCTTGTCCAGTACCTGTTCCTGTTCAAGTGCCAGTTCCTCAACCATATCCTGTACCGCAACCGTTTGTAGTACGCGAACCAGTGTGCGTACCTGTTCAAGTGCCAGTACCAATACCAATTTATTCGCAAGAAGTAGGAACGCATAGTGTTATTACTGAATTAATCTGATCCTGTATCTAGGAATATTACTATCCTGAGCCATATTGCGAAGAAGAATATGAAGAGCCAATATATATCAAACGCCATCGTCATCGTCATCGACGACGAAGATCGTGTGCACCGCCTGCACAACCAATCATTGTACAGGTTCCAGTTCCAGAACCACCTGCTATCGTCGAACAGCCACTTCAGGTGACGGAATACGTTCAAGATATTTACCCACCAGCACAAGTGTATACCGATCAAGTGCCTGTGGTTAGTTAGACGCTTTTGATCCATTTACAGTATGAAACGAATAATCTTATGTGTATATATATATCTTCAGGGTTATGTTGCAAGTAATTCCATGGTTCAACAGCCTAGTATCATTCAAAATCAAGAAACACTCAATTGCCAACCAGGAGTTATTCTACCGCCTGCACCCTACGTACAGCCACATCAACAGTTAATACAACAATTACCTTGTGGACAGGTCGTTCAACGACCCCTATGTGTAGGAGGAGGAGGCGGAGGTGCTTTACAAACTATTTTAGCGGCACAACAACCCTGCCCTCCTATGCCCAATAGTGGTTGTATACCAAGTCCTTGTTTTTCCAGTACGCAACTATGTTGATAAACATAACTTTTAGTTTTTTTTCATAAATATGAGCCAACGAAACAGAAGTATTGTACTTGATACGAGAAGAAAGAAACTATTAAGAGAAGAGATTCCTTCTCAGCGAAATGTACCCTATTCATTTTTCTCGTCATAGCAGATCAAAATTTCATCATTAGAATATATCATATGGTATTAAATGATGAGCGCCAAGACCTTCGAAATGAATACCCTATCTATGCCATCCACAATTGTTTTCTCTTCTGGACATCTGTCGTTGCTAAACAGCGTGTCGTGAACTAGTTAGTGAAGATAATTATTATACATTTATTTATGTATCCCGGGAACGATTCAAGGAAAAACATACATTTAGGAGAAACAGCCGTTTGTGCATGTATATATAAATACTATAAATGCGATAAATGAAATGCGATCTATGTATACCAAACACATGCGCACATTGTCAATGTATAGCAACCACCAATAGAGCTTTGATTTGTCGTTCTCCATCTATCATATCAAAATAAAAAGAAAACAGTAATGAAGTAAGTAAAGTAATCTATATTAAATTGAAAAAAGGAAACAGAAAATCCCCTTAATACTTTGTCTTTTTTCATCATTATTCTCACAGTTTATCAATGATAAAGTTAGAACCAATCGAACAGAATACCAACTATGCTACAGGCAGTCCTACGATGATTTCAACGGCCATATCATCTCCTCGTTCGAATAAGAGACTACGGAAAGCCTCATATCCAATGAAAGCTATCAATCCAACACAACTTTTACTTCCAAATCAAATAACTCATTCGCCCATGGAAGAACCGTTGACTTCCATCGATGGTGATTTATCTCGACTTGATCATCAAGAGGAAGAAATGCAAAATCTACCTCGTCTCTCATCTTCAAAACGGCCTCGACTGACTTACAATAAACGTTTGGTAGCTAATGCGCGTGAACGTGAACGTGTTCATAATCTAACAGCAGCATTCGAAGCTTTACGAAGAGTTCTACCAATGTACGGTGATCAAGAGAAATTAAGTCGACTGTCGATATTACGCATTGCTTGTTCGTATGTTCTCGTGCTTGGTGCATTGAACGAAATGGATTTTAGTCAAGGCGAAAATGCATACACATTGAATGAAACTTTTCATATGCTTTCCTACACAATTCTCAATGAACTCAAACGAAAAAAATCATAAACATTATTAGAAATTTCTCGTTTTTTTTTTTTGTTATTCATAATTGGCAAAAGAATCTTTCATTTTGGAAAAGAAATAATTTCGTTGTTCTCAGTTCAAAATAGATACGTGCACTACGTCCACCTTCTCTTTCCTTTACACATGTAGATGTCGATAATCAGTCTATCGCTCCGTGGTCACTGATAGGACGAAAAGAAAGACTTTTGTTTCATGACAAACAGACGGTCAGTAGAGTAGAGAGTGAATCAACGGTTCATTTTGATATTGAGATTGTCATTTAACCAACAAACTCACTTGTCAGATAGAAAACTCTTCCACTGCTCAAAATGTCAGATACATTTATTGACCAGTTCAATGCAGAATGCCATGGGTATTTGAAATCGGAATTAAATACACGTTTATTGTCATTATTATCAGCAACAGATAAATCAACAGCATCCGAATACTATTTTGCAGAATATCAACGGTGTTTGAACGAACAAATGAATTTCATTAATTACATAACTGAACAACAGGCCTCCTTGGATACTTTGAAATCCTGCGAAACAACGATCGATGCGTTTCTCGAACGATTAAAAGCAGTTCATCAATACGAATTGAAGCAGAATGATCTTTTCGAACAAATCTTAAATGAGCTAACAACAATGGTAAGAAAGGAAATCTGTCCGAGCCTTTCTCGATACAAGATTTTTCTTCGTTTCTTTCAGAATCCATCCGGTAAAACAGAACGCCTTCGCCTATTAGAACAAATCGACGATCTTATCGCAGAAAAAGCCAAATTAGCAGGTAGTATGAATGATACTAATCCATCACCAATGAAACTCGCAGCTAAATCGAGCGATACATTTAAGAATATTTTGTGAGTTTTTTGTGTATTTTATTGTAAAAATACTATGTCTATATGTATACATATATATTGAATAAAATCAGATCCTGTATCTTGAATATTGTATAGTATAGCTTTTCAACAGAAGAAAAACGTATGCAATGAATTTATTGTAGACGAATGTGAAATGGGAGTTTTCAGGCAATACTACTTTTTAAGTAAGCCTATTCTAATCTGTGCAACAACTGGTCTATTGTGGGCAAGATTCAATCAGGAGAGCGATGCATATAAAGAAGAATTGAAAAAGACCATTGACAACGTCGATCTTCTCTGTCAAGCGTATAAAGAAAAACAAGGCATTCCTGGTATGAATCATATATTCTTGTTTGATTAATTTTCTCTTCTTTTGTTTTTTCGTTTGCGTTCATCAGGTGTGAGCATCGGTGTCACAATGCATGGATCAGCTGTTTGGAAAAAAGGCTTCGGTTTGGCCGATATTGAACAACGTGTTCCATGTACGTCGGACACAGTTATGCGTATCGCAAGCATCAGTAAAACATTTACAACTGCTATCGCTGCACAATTCGTGGAAAAAGGTAAACTCAATTGGGATGACACAATTGACAAACACCATCGTGAATTACCAAAGTTTTTATACGATAATGTACTTGTCTCGATTACCATACGTCAGTTAGCAACACATACCAGTGGTATACGTCATTATTGGAAGAAAGGTGAGGTTGAAACTGACGATGAATTCGTCCTACCTGAATATTATCTAACACGTTCGTACCCCACCGTCAGCGAAGCCCTTTCGATATTTCTTCACGATGAATTGCTGCATCAACCTGGTTCATCTTGGCGTTATACGACACATGGATATACATTGCTGAGTGCCGTATTAGAATGTATATCGGATGGTAAACAAGCATTTCCTACGCTTTTACAAGATTTGATTATCAGGCCACTTGATTTACGACATACTAAACTAGAATATCCAGATGAAATCGTACCGAATCGTAGCCGATATTACTGTCGTCGTACACTCAAAGAAGGTTTACGCAACGTTGCCTATGTTGATTTATCATATAAATGGGCTGGTGGTGGAATGCTTTCAAATGTGAACGATTTACTTGTTTACGCCAATACTCTTTTACAATGTTACCAAACGAAATCGACTCGTTCAGAATCAACTCAACTATTTTTAAAAGCAGAAACGATCGCAGAAATGTGGTCACCAATAGCCGTTACAAATGATAAGAATACTTTCTATGGTTTAGGATGGATGATTTCCAAAGAACGAACATCTGCTGTGCATGAAGATGCGATTCCATTTCACGTTTATCATACGGGCGGTGCTGTTGGTGCGACATCAGTTCTCTTAATTATTCCATGTACAAAGAAATGTTCAAATCCTCGTTGTGGTATATGTGTTGTTATATTAGCAAATCTTCAAAGTGCCCGTGGTATCTATCAAACAGCTTTAGATATTGCCTTACTATTTCGTCAAATATCTCCCTGTTCAAGTAAATATAAACAGTGACATTCGTTCTCGCTTGTTTTTATCATGTCCGATATCTGTTTTACAATCGATATTGTAGAAAATCTGTATATATATATAATGAATACACTAGTTCATGATTTACTTTTTTTTCTGTATGAATTGATTGCAACGGCCGTAAAATGTCAAAGCGTTCCATGACAAAGTGTCTCGTAATGCTACAGATAACATATGGAATATATTATTAGACAAGTGTATTTGACTTCTTCTCTACGATAAAGGAAAGGTCAATTGCCAAACTCTTGTCTGAAAATGATTAACAGCATCTATATTCAATATTGCATATCTGTGAATGTTCATAATTGATATGTACTTAGTTTTGTTGGCTTATATTGAAGGAGAAAAGCGACTCAATGTAGTTACCTGATTTTTTTCATACTGAGATAGAGTGTTGGGTAGGAACATGGTTCATTTTTGAATCTAGATGATCGTTAATATTGATTCCCAAGAGAAAAACATGTCTATCATTTGTTTGCATAGCAATAAGAATAGAATAGAAGAAAATCGGAACCGGAAACAGTTTTCCCTGACTCCGGAATGGAAACTGTCAACTAAAAGATCGATCATGAGACATTTTCTTTACCTGAAAAAGTCCGATAAAACTCAAAGGAGATCTACTCGTCAACCTTCACAGATGTACGCTATAACGAAGTTCCATCCACAAGTCAATGATCGATGATTTCAGTTTTCTCCATCATTAAACAGAATCTGGTTCACGCGATCTCAAGAATGCAAAAGTGCCTTTACAGACGGTGTCATTCACATAAAGAAAGAACGAGTCCTTTATCTCACTTCGGTATCGTTCAGTCTCTTTATGTCAATAATGGAATCGGTAGGGTGTAATCGAGAAGGGAAAGTTGAGATGAAAATAAGACAGAGAAAAGCAAACTAAGCCGAAAAGAATCATGTTAGTAGTTCTGCGTCGGTTTCTAATGAAAAAAAAAATAGAGAGAAAATGCAAACAGAGAAAAAAATGTTGGTAGGATGAAGTATGCGTGTCTCTGTCTCGCTCACCCTTTGTCATAGAGCACTAGACTAGAGTGACTAATCAATGACAGAATTTTTCTACATGGTTGCAGTTGATAAGAGAGAAGATGCTGAGAGTGGAAAAAATGAAGCTTTCATCAAGCAGAAACTTGCAGAATAAGAAGGAAATGAAGAAATAGAGCGACGTCGAGGAAGAACTTCTCGGTATCGTGAAACAGAGAAGAAGAAGAAGAAGAACAAGAAGCAGAAAAAAACGAGGAAGAAATGGAAAAGATGTTGTTGATGACTTGTTGAGCGAGAGAAAACGCAGCTGCTCTTATTTTTCAAAAAAAAAGTTCATTGTTATCTCATGTTTTCAAAAAGTATTATTCACAATCATTGAACACGCATTCTATAGCACTTAGGTAAGTGAACTTTTCTTACTTAGCTTTTCAACAACTTAAACGATCATTCCAGTTGAGAAGTTCTTGTCAAAAACCTGATACATTCAATGCTATACAATAATCTATACTGGAATTATTTAACTATTTTTGTGTTGTACTGTTTCCTATTGATCAAACCTGTGTCAAATCAAGGCTTAGCGTGTTTCAAATGCATGACCACAAATCCATCCGACGATGGGTGCCGCGATCCATTTTCTTCAGTGATTAATCCAGTGCAGACTAATTGTCAGGTAGATTTACAGATGATCGTGCTTTGGCTTCAAAATTCCTTCCCTGAAGAGAAAAAAATAATAAGTTCTTATCTCTTTTTAAACGGAAAATGTCTTATTACTAATAATTATGTTTTGTATGTCGTGTTTTTCCTTGAAAGACGAAATTGAATAATTGAATTAGTAATAGGAAAGTTAGTTATGAACGATGGGGCATAGGGCACTTCAGATGGAGAGAAAAGCTTCATTTAGTTAGCAACTGAATCATATAAGAGTCTTCAACATTCTTTAGGCGACATCGGTGGGCAAAAATGGAACATTTCCGGCTCGATTCTGTGTTAAAATTAGCGGTCGTGTGTTAAGCATCGATAGCGGTGGGAATAATTCCTTGTTAAATACATTTATCTATTATCGAACATGCGTTGTTGATAACATCATGGAATCCACTAAATCATTGGAATCATCCGGCAATTTTCGATTGAAACATTTTCAAAATATGCCCGGTACAATTCGTCTTCAAGGTACAATGTCCCTTTGTATATACGATGGTTGTAATCAAGCAAGAAACTATTATTCGTCATTATCAATTATTCTTATGTCTAGTTTCTTTCTAATATTTAAACACTATTATTAAGTGTATGAATAGATAACTGGGCACGAAGCATTGTATCGAGGCGCTGAGAATGAGATTTCTTTCCTTGAAGATATGTGAATTATTTTTGTAGATCGACAAACGAATAACGAGGGAGAATGCTTTTGTAAACTAATATTTGTCTAAAAGTTATTTTTCTTTTTCCAATCATGATAATATAAACATGATAATTAATCAAAAAAAACAAAAACTTCAATGCAATGCTATGGGGAATTGAACAGATGCTGACAATGTGAACTCTGATTTCAACAGATCTATGATTTTTCATACGGATTCGAGATAATCTCATATGAATATGTGATATTCTTCATGTTCATGCTATTATTGGTCTCACTTGGGTTAGTGATAAGCAACTATCCATACCGACGCATGATCGAAAGAGAAAGAGAAGTTCTAACAATGGCAAAGTAGAGTATTGCATTTTAATACACAATGAGATAGATGAAATAGCATGGAAAATGCACTAGTGTTAGTCTAGCATTTCCTGTGTTTAAGCTATTAGAAAAATATTCACGACTAATCTGTTTTTGTTGGACGGAAAGGAATGACAATGCACTTCGGTTTCATGATATTACTGTAAGACTAACCATATTGGTGCGTGATGTTGAAAACATTTTCCATTCTTTTGATCTAGATAGTCTATGATGTCTGAGCGCACACATTGTTAATTATACTGAAGAGTATCTGTCCCTTTAATTGGGGAATTGTCGATCTTTTGGATTAGTTCTTGATCAGTTCAAATTAATGGAATAGGAATGTGATTAATTTAGTTCATCAAGAACTCTATATACCACGTGAGAGATGAAAACTAATTTCTTTTGCATGATGTTCATCTAGTTCAGCTCTATTCATAAAATATGAGTGAGGAGAGCTTGAGAAAAGCATTGATTTTCATAGAACTGGAATGATTTGATAATCTTGTCGGACTCTAGCAACAAAAATATGTCAGATGAGTATTGAAAGGCGATTCTTTACGATATGTAATATAATCTTAACTGCTGATTAGTTTTGGCTGTAGAGGATCAATGCATGAGAATAGACTGACAAGTAGATAAATGGAAAAAAAAGTTTTAATCATTTAGCATTCAGAACATCATGGTCGATGACTTCAACCGAGACATACAAATAAAATTAGATTTATTTATTGATCAGAACTTATAAATGAAACCTGAAAACAAACACAAAAAAGTAAATATTAAAATGATGACAAGCAATTAGATTCATCTAGTTGTGCATCTTACCATTACATTATTGTCAGTATTTACTAGTATAGTACAAAAAAAAACGAGATAAAACACCTAAATTCATTGACAATCATGTGAATTTATGATGTTTTCTATGCATTGCGTGGATTTTTGCACGTTGATAAACAGGATCATCATCAGCATCTTTCAATGTAACATATCGACTCGCCAGACAGACAATAGAACACGTTGAGACGACGATGAAAGCAAAAGCTAAATAACATGTTTTTTCATCGAAATGGTTTGGTATATACGGTCGAATAGCAAGTAGCAGATGTTTTTGTGCGTAAATACATGGTCGAATGAAGAGCGTCAATAAACTATTGAGAAGATTCAAGATCATGAGTGCTTTTTTATCTGGAAAACATGAGATAGACGAAATGATCACCGGTATTTTATTCTGGTTCAAAATTTCACCTGCTGACTTCAATTTGACTAACAAAATAGAGAATATAAGGTAGCGGGTTATCTTGCGAATATCGAAAAAAAAAGATTCAGAAAGCGAAGGGATGAGCAGAAATGGAAAAGAATGGTTAAACATGAGATTATCACGAGCAGAAAAATAGAAAATATTTGAATTGAAATCGAACTACATTAAATGTTTAAAATTAGAATCAAGTACTACGGCTTGATCTTGTACGGAATTAATAGCGAATTTCGAATTTTGACTGGGTAACAATGGTGATGTTAGAGAAGGAACGATGGTATTGGTTTCTCGCGCAGTTTTCAATCGTTCGAGTTCTTGTAATAACTGGTGATGTTGAAGTTCAAGTTGTTTCTGACGGAAACTATTCAACACTTCTAGTTCTTCACGTTCTTCGGCTAAATATTTCAGTGAAAATGATCATGAAGTGAAGAGAACTATGCCTTACAAATGAAGAGATTTTCTGCTTTCGAATATTCATCTTTCAATTCAGCGACATGATCAAAGATTAAACCATCAACTCGTAAATCCAATAAACATCTGGATACTTCCTTATCACCTAGAACAAAACAATATAAAACTGTCGTTTTTGTTCTCATTTCATCAACGAGATCTTACTTGCTTCATCACCCCAAATGAATAGTAGTTTACCATTGTCCTTAACATTCTTAACAAATTCTTTATTCAAAAGAATATCTAATGCGGGTGCTGCCAAACCGGACAATTGTTCTGCGACACAAAAGCATAAGCCAATATCGATTGACCATGTTCGAACGTCCAAATATTGTGGCCAATCTCCTTTTTCACCTTGTGTTAAAAACAAAACTGGGAAGGATGTTTGTTTTCGACGAAGCATGGAAGCACAATCAGGGTCGAAAGTCGATAGAACAATCACGCGTTTACCCGCTAAAGAAAAAAAAATCAAATGTCATATTATTCATAGGATGCCTTTTGCAGCTGAAATTTACCGTAAGTAAGAAGGCAGCGAAGTATACAATCGATATACTCATTTCGTTCGAAGAAATGATTTTGTTCGCTGCCACCTTGTCGATATTCCATAGCATATTTAATCTCCACATTGAAACCAAGGTGTGGATCGAGTTTTTCGAATAGTTCTTGTAATGTTGGAAACAATGAAAGAAATTTTTTCTCATCTTGTTGTTGTCCAGATTTTGAACTTATTAATTGCTCGTCTTCTCCATTGCATAATGGAGTGAATGTTGACATTGATGAATTGTTCGGGGTTGGATTCGTCGGATCATCATCGTCTAGCTCTTCATCAGCTTTGCGTACTTCACCTTCTTTGCTGGCATGGTAAATCTTCAAGGATTGTAGTTGTGGTAAACTTAGATCCTTAACTGGAACAACGAATAGTTCGGCTTCATGTCCCTTGCGTTTGAGAGTAATTGCGACTTGAAAATCATGGTACACTACCGGAATTTTGTCCTTGGATAATTGTACGTCAAACTCGACAAAGTCAAAACCAAGTTGAAAAGCACCTTTGAACGAAGCAAGTGTATTTTCACTAACAAATTTTGTTTGAACTGGTCTTGATACTGATGAAGGTGGCAGAGTTGACGAGTCCAACGAACGGTGTTTGCTCAGATCAGGTGGTGATGCTGACGATGATGATGATATTTGTGCTTGGTGTTTTGATGGTATGTGTTCTGTATTTGTTTTACCTAGACCACGATGGCCAACATTGACGGGTCGTCGGCCTTGACGCCAATATTTCGATGGCGAAACAGCGAATTTTTGTTGAATACCTTCCAATGGTGTTATTAATAGAACATCGATTTTTATTTGTCCAATTCTACGATAAACGAGAAGCGTCGTTTTGATTATCAAGATCAATAGAAAATACTCACGGATTGTGTTTGAGCCCAATGATTGGTACTATTCGATTGAGATGCTTATTATCCGCTAGTTCAAGATTCGAATGGATTGGTAAAACATATGCAAAACCGATATGTTTTCTTAATGGCGTTGTTTCGTCCACAAGATAGAAATCGATGTGATAGGCAACATTTTCCGGTTCAAATGTTTGAATTTTGACTACCATATAGTCATCTTTTTCCAGTACAGCACCATAATCGCTTTGAAAATTGGCTTCGCAACCCGACAAACGTAAGATAGCCGATTGAATGAACACTTTCGACGTGGGTGTAAAGACTTGACTAGATAGATCAGGAGAGATTTCTTCATTTTCTTGTTGGTAATTCAGATCTATAAGAGTAAACACAAATATCAAAGTTGTCTTCTCAATGATAGCTATATACCAATCGGTGACACTTTCAACGAAAGTTTACTGTTACGTAGTTTTGTTGACCAGATTTGTAAGGCATTGGAATGAAAACGCAACTGGATTTCTGTTTGACCAGTCAACCATCCAATGTCAGTACGACATTCTCCTTTATAACAGCCGAAGATAGCTGGAAACTCGTCGGGTGGCGTGTTCTCAATAGACGCGTCTGTTATCGTCGGTGCTCTGTCATCGGAATAGTTGGTCAGATGATTCAGTGATAACTGACGTGCATTCTTAAACGTTTCCCCTGAAAGGAAATCCGTAGACAATATCATTAGTCTCGATGAAAAACTTACATTTTTTCACAATCAAGTTTAAATCATCATCAAATCGGACGATTTGCGCGATTAGATATCGGTAGGAGATCTTTTGTGGACCGTAGATTTTAATATTAGTTGACCAAATTTCCTCTTCGTCAGTCTTATCCGTTCGATTCAATGGGATACATCGACTTGGAAGCCATTCACCTAATTGTTCACATGAACCAGTAACTAGTACACTATCACATGGATTTAACTTCTCTTTGATATGTACGCAGAATTCCACATCGTAAACGACTCGACGAATCATGATGTTGTCGCGTTGTTTTTTCTCTCTCAATTGCTTGATTGTAAATAATCCAAGAGAAAAACTAAAGATTTATATATATGAAATAGACGCATATCTAATATGATTCGTTGACAGGATAATAAAGCAGTAAATGTTACCAGGCACGATCAAATCAATAGTCGTCTTTCATTGTTCACTGACAAAATGAGTAACAGTGGAGAAAAAAAACGAAACAATAACATATTTCTTGCCATTTGTGGTGAAATGAAAAAGGGTAGGAGATACAATAAAAAGAAAGAATAAACGAGAAAATGTCCTCCGTCGATAGACGATTAATTAATAAGACAGTTGGCGAGATATGCTTTTATTATTACGCACATGAACACGTTGAGGGCGTGATCAACTCGTGATTCATTGGGAGAAAAAGCGGCAAAACAGAAGCGAGCTCACAATATACAAC